GTGCCATCTGGTGGTGGGAGTGCTGTCAAGATTTCCTTTTTCCTGTGCATTGGTGATTTGGGTTTCTTGTCTCTGTTGGATCTGGACTCTCTAATATAATTTCGGGGGAATCTTGTACACTAAATCTGGGCCTTTTTGATCATTCCTTCTTAATCCCAAACCAAAAATGGCTGCTTGGGTTACTATGCCAATAGGTTACAAGGCTTAAAATTATAGTTCACCCAAAAATTACAAATCTGTCATCATTTACTCACCCTCAAGTTGTTCCAAACCTGTATGAGTTTCTTTATTCTGTTGAGCACAAAAGAAGATAATTTGAAGAATGTTGGTACCAACAGTTGACAGTAGCCTTAGTAATTTTTTCCATACTATGGAAATCAATGGCTACCATCAACGCTCTTCAAATGATCTTCTTTTGTGCTCAGCAGAAGAAAGAAACTCAACAACTAGAGGGTGAGTAAATTATGACGGAATTTTTTTTGGTCAACTATATCTTTGTGTGTGTCGCTCTTTGTGATTTCAACGTGGACTGATGTCCTCTGATGCCCCCTGCAGGTCGGAAGGTGCGAGGAGAATATGGCATGAAGGAGGCAACGCATGGACTGGCCCACTTAGAACTACAAGACCAGGAGCTCAAAGACTTGGAGGTGGCACGCATGCTACAGGAAGAAGAAATTAAGGTATCTTGAGTCTCGGTGGTTGTAATTAATGGTGATTTGTAATCCACAAATATAACCATGTCTTTTTTTACAGGAGAGTCAGTTTGACAGGCGAGCCGCTCAAGTTGCACAAGATGAGGTACGGCATGGTTCATTGTTTTTCTGCACTGTCAGGGGTGTCGCTACACCTAGATAAAACATTTTGTTTTATGATTTGTTTTGTTATTGAATTTTAAGGAAATAGCCCGACGGCTGATGGAGGAAGAGAAAAGGGAGTATAAGAGATCAAAAGAGAAGGAGAAACAAGTGATGGAGAGAAGACGACCTGAGGTGGAATATAAGGTAAGCAACATTCATTCCAACTACACATAGTTCTGGTCCTGAATGCTGATCGTTCAATAGAGCGATCCAGCCAACATTTAATACCTTATTTTTGGAGATTGATAAATATTTACATAAATAAATGCAAATAATGTGTGTGTGTGTGTGAGAGAGAGAGACCCATGCTGGCAAAATGAGTCTGAATGCGCACAAGCTAATTCTGAGCTACAGGCAAAAAAAGAGAAATATGTCAATTTTGGTCGAATTTGAGGTTTTCACAAAAATGAGTTCATTAAGCCCTTGTCCAGCGATCCCAATGCTCCAGATAGGAAACATCTGACAACAGAATGATCTTTATTTGTATGCTTTCTGAGAGGTGTACTTTTTTTCTCTGCTTGCTTCTTGATGACTGGTGCTTCCCCTCAGCACAAGTTCAGTATAGTTGTAAAGCACAGCATTCCAGCTTTGTGAATATTCATAGCGAAGTCTCGATGGCACGAGTCTTCTCATGAGAACACCTGGAGATTTGGTTTGGTGCTCACACTAGTAGTATTGCACTTTATTTACTTTTTTTTTTTTTAAATAATAAAATAAATAAATAAAAATACTAAATAAATAAAGTTTGATAATACTATTATATTTTATATTATATATAAAAAATACAATGCTTATATTTACTTTTTTTTTTTTTTTTTTTTTTATTTTTATT